GCGGGGTGGGTATTAACATCCCCGCCCCCGCCCCCGATTTTATCAATCGGGGAAAACCCGAACCCGAACCCGAACCCGATAAACACGGGTTTTCCCCATCCAAATCGGGGCGGGTTCGGGCGGGTACCCACGGGGGCGGGTTAGATTGCCATGCCTAATAATACCTACACAACTAGGAAAAGTCCGCAACCTGGACTTATGAATGAGTTGTGCACATGTGTAGTATTGTTGCATGTACACAAATGCATGTATGGTTGGCAGTGAAAAGTGAAAACCGCCCAACCCAAAAAAGGAATAAGATAAAGAAAATAACTTCTTGAAATGGTTATCCATTGTGATTTATTTTATGAATATTGGGGATATGGGTATGCCAAATTTACTGTTTCGTAGAGGATTGGTTGAGACAGCAAATCTTATTTGGTGAGAGGTTGGTAGTAATCTGATTCGATCTCTTGGCGAATAAAATAAAATAACATTATTTGTGACGTGATTTCTGCTGGCTCATGAAGTTAACTCTTGTTTTGCACTAGACTTGTTCTTTCTTTTGTGACCTGTGATCTATACCAAGTCAAGTTTGGAATCTTATCTGAAAATTTTTAAATAAAATCCCATTTACCCAAAATTACAAATTGCAAGAGTATTTACAACAAGAAAAATTATAATATGACAAAGTTCTGGTTGATGACAAGATACTAAAAGAATCCAACAATGATATACACCAGAATTAAAATCTGCTGAAGAACTATATAGACACGTACATTTAGAGATTTAATACTGGAAAAATGCTGAAGCTATAAAGATGCTTTCAGCTTTTGAATTGTGAAAGCATAGCCAGCTTTTGAGTTGAAGCCCATTCGTACACTCTTTTTTAGACTTTGAATGCAACAAAACTCCAATCTTTCAGAAATCTGATTCAAATTAAGGGACTTCAGCCCCCTCGTCCAATAGCAAATAGGTTGAATAAATTTTGGAGTTATCTGACGTGTTTATGTTCCAGCAGTTTGAAAATCACAGAAATTATTTGTGTTGGTGCCTCTGATGATGACTACCCAGAAATTCGCTTGGGAGTCATCCTCTTCTGCATTTCCCGTGCAATCTCAATGCAAGCATGGTCAACCATTCCCAGAAAATCCTTCACTATGACAAACAATTGAAGATTGTCTTCTGCAGTCCCTTTTGAAGCTCCTCCTTGATAATATTGTGTTGTTTTCTTGATAAGCTGCAACACACTTGTTTGCTTCTCCCTCACTAATTTCAACTCTTCCTCAGCATTTCCAAGAAAGTGATCCATTTCTTTCACAAAATATCCTCCTTCACCATTTCCACACAAGGAATCAAGTTCTTGAATTCCAACTAACCGGGTTGAGAGGGCTGAGATTGAACCATCCAAATTTCTATAATCTATTTGTGCCGCTTTCTTGACATTGGAGAACTCAGAACTGATCCCTCCTACAATTGGCAATCCTAGTGTTACATATTCCCTCTCAATCAGTTCATTTGAAGCGGCATTGTTCTCATAGTTTCCGTTGCTGCTGCTTCCCCTGCTGCTGCTACTGCTCAGACTGCCATTGCGGTTAAGAGCGACCCGTTTTCCCTCAGAACGGACTACTTCTTCAACCACAAAGTGAAGTAATGTGGTTTTTCCATTGGTGCTCTTGACATCAGAGAGCTTTCTAAGAGAAGCCAAATTGAAAGCTTGAGCATTACCTCTTGCAGTTCCTGCATTCATTCGGTTTCCTGCCTTAAGCACTGCTTCAAGAAGCTTCACAAAGAGTCCCTTGCTTTTAAGCTCCATACACCCCAGTTCAATGGTCTGCAGAGATTCCTTGATTTCTTGAATCTCGGAGTCATAGTTCAACCTGAATAGCATGGCATTCAAGCGCTTAAAAGCGGAAGGAACAGCTTTAAGGATGTTATAAAGGAAAGATTCAGCGGCTGCAAGTCTTGCTGGGTCTCCTTTGTATTCAAGGATAAGAGATTGCTCTTCTTCTGTTGGGGAAACTCTAGCAAGCTTTTCAAGGATATCTGCATCGAGGCCCTTACCATTAGTGAGTGCATCAAGAATTTCACTTTGTGAGACTGCAAGAGATTTCAAAACAATAGCAATGTTCTGTGACTTTCTGGGGTCAAGAAGGAAAGTTTTTGCAGATGGAGCTGAGCCATCCTTGCTTGGAATGGCTGAGTGACTCTTTCCTTTGGGAGATTTTCGGTTGGTTGCGACATAACCGAAGAGAGCCTCCATAAGATCTTGATCAACCCTGAAGTATTGTATTAAAAAACATGGGATGATCAGTTAAATCTAAACTGGAATGATCAAATACATGTTAACCAAATCTAACACATGAGGATTACCTGAAAGAGCCACGATCAACTTTGTCCCATACCATGGAGTGATCAGCATTATTAGTATTCACCTTATCCCAATGCAAAGGCTTCAGCTTCACTTGATCATTGCTGGTTTCTGGCACTCCTTTTCCTGAAGAGTTTCTTTGCTTAATTGCTGGCATTTCAACGGGAGGAGGTGGTGGTTTTGAAGATGGAGGAGGAGGAGGTGGTACTGGACTCCTTCTAGCTGGGATTGGGGGAGGAGGAGGCGATGGTGCAGGATTATTCGTTTTCGGAACTGCCGAAAAAGAAGTAGAGGATGGTGTTGATGGTGAAATTGGAGGGGGGGGAGTTGATGGTTGAATTGGAGAGTCTGGTTTCTGAACACCCTTGATAACAACCCCAACTGATGCAGGAAGACTAGGAGGAGGAGAAGAAATTGGTGAAAATCTATATGGCTCATCCTCTTCTGGAGATATGTTCAAGTGGGAAGTTGAAGATTTCCCTCTAAGCAGAGGAATTTCTTGGATGGACTTAGACTTTTTCACTTGATTTTCATCATGTCCATCTTCTTTAACTTCTTTCTCTTTGTTTTTGGGACTACTCAAGACCTCCTTATGAAGATCCTTGTTAGAGTTCTTCCCTTCAAGCTTTCTCCAGTAAATCACATCCAAACCATCCTCATCAACAATCAAGCCCTTCACATTTCCATCAATTCTCTCAAACACGTTTCCCTGAGGCACAACACGGGTATCTCCCCCAGAAGCAGTGTTTCTTGTCTCCTCTCTCTTTCTTGCCCTCAAGCACCTTTGAACCAAAATGAAAACTAAACCACATACAACTATGGAGGTTGCTGCTGTTGCAGCCACAGCCTTCGCCATCTTACCGTTCGATGAACCGCGGCTAGGTGCTACGTTAGTGGATGGTAGTGGTGGTGGTGGTGGTTGCTGTTGTGGCTGTGCTGGTGCTGTGGCTGAAGTTTCATTTGGATAGAAAGTTTCAATGTTCTGAGGAGGAAAATTGCTGGTCTGGCTATGACAGGTTGGTATTGACAAACTGTGCAGAAGTAAAAGAAAAACAAGGCTCGTATGAAGCCATGATTGAAGCATCGTATTCAAAGCCATGATGCAAGTAGAGGAAACGAGGATTCTGAAAACAAATATGCTGATTTACTTTTTCTGTTCATTGATAACTGCAAGTTCTTTTTGTCCTTCTTTGTCTTAACTTAAGCTTGTTGGTTTTGTTTTTCTGACAGTTTCAAAAGAGTTGAAGCGGTTAATTCTTGTTGGCCTTCCCGGAATAGAGGGATGATTTGGTACTTTCGTAGGAAGAGTTGGTGTTGGTGTGAGTCATAAATGAACATGCAATGCAGCTGGGTCGAAAAGGAAAGGGTTTACTTTGTCAAACGTGAAGTGAAAAAACACGTATGAAGTGGTGCTATCATGATTCAATGTGCTTTGTTTTTGCAAAGAATTTGTCGTACAGTCTTCACAACTTTGACTTTGTTTTGATGTGCAACTTAGAAACTAACAACTCCTATTAAAGTATAGATTATGAAGGTTTAAAATAAACAGAATTGAAACCAATTCCATTATGGAACTTTTTGGCTGAAGGAGTTAGTTGTGATTTAATAGTCCCGGTGGAGCCATTGTGAGTATTTAATGTTGAGAATAGAGTAAAGTGGCTCACCAAATTGGCTTTTAGTTGGGACAATGTAATGGCCTAACAAAAGGCCATTTCCCCCATTTCTTTTTGCTTTTCATCAAAAGTTTCCATTGGATTCTGTTCTTTTCCTTGCGTGGACGGTCATCATAATTATTATTATATCGGTCATGTTTTTTGTTTGTTAATCTAATGCTTCATTGTTTTCCAAGGTCTCACTTTATTAGTTTGCATTGCAAGCCCAATTTTATCCTCACTATTTTTTGGTTTTTTTTTTTTTCTTCATAATCTGTAATTTTCTGAGATGGAAGTTGCAACATTTTGCATTAAAATGCCTTTAACCTAACAAACGTGAATATTTAGGATGCTTGTTAAATTAACTTAAAAATTAGTTGAAAAGTTAGAGATTTACAAACTCCCTGATCAAATTAAAAATGTTTGGTAATATTAGTAATTAAGTTAAAAAAATATAAAATGATATTTATCTATTTGATAATGAAAATAAAAGAATAACATGATAAATAAAAAACTTTCTAAATTTAAAAAGATTTAAAAAAAATCAAGTAAATTAATAAAGATAGAAAATAATTAAAAAAAGAGAGCGTATAGGCTATAAGATTCCTCAACTAACTAATAAATATAAGTTTTAAGTTTCTAAAATAAATTTTTATACCAAACAAACATTATGAGTAAACTAACTTATAAGTTAGTCAAATGAGTTCATAAACTTCTTAAATATTTAAGAAACATTCTCCGTAAAACTAGCCTAAGTTGACTTTTTATTTAAAAACTAGTTGAAAGTTTTTAAGTTATAAGATCTTAAAAACTTGAAGTTTACAAGATAGTTGAGTGAATTAAAATTGCTCAATAAAATTAGATAATAGAGTAACTTGTAAATGTAAAATAAAAAAAATTAAATTAAAAATGATGAAAAAAGATTTTAAGAAAATTAACAAGGATGAAAAAAGAATTTATAGGTCAAACTACTTCAATTAATTTATTAAAATAAGTTATAAATTCCTAAAACATAAACTTATATATCAAATAATCTTTTTTTATTAAGTTAACTTATAAGCTAGTAAAAAAATTTATAATTTTTTCAAATATTTTGATCGACACATTCTTATACTAATCTTGATATATATATA